CACACTCTGCAAAGCTCAGTAGGGCCTTCTTAAATAATATCTGCATATCTCAGGTCTATCAGAAATGCCAAAAACAAGAAGTTTATTCTTCATTTTAGAGTAGTAGATGGAGCCATGCAAGTAATTCCCTTACATGTGGTTATACTCCATCTTCAGTCCATAGAAACCATACACTGCATTGCTAATTGACAGCAAGACTACAACTGTTGTGTGCAGTTAGACTACATGCGTAAACCAGCTGTTTTGAATATACAAAAGACTGACTCTGCCTACTATCCCAATTGGCAATAAAACCGTATGTTTGGTATTTTGTATGCATCTGAGACATGTAGATATCTTCTGTTTTATGATGGCTCTAGTGTGCCTTATATGAAGTAAAACCTGTAAGCTTGGGGAAGGAGTGGCTTTTAAAGGTTGCATCTTCATCTATGGTTTGTAATTGAATACAACTCATGCCTAAACAATGTTGAAGCACTGGGGACTTCTACATGTAGGCTTCACAATGATTCAGTTGAGGGCTTTTTGCCGCACTTTACCATAATCTGCCTGGTTATACAACCTTACTCTCTATAAGCCTTAGTACCCCAACATCATTTGAGTGTGACTGGTGTTATTGCCAAAGATTCAAGGAAGAAGGAGCAAACAGTTTTTAATTACTGACAGAAAATTCAGTAGCTAGAGTCATTAGCTAGGACGGAATACTATTTAGCTTTTCCTAAAAAGTGCCAAAAAAAGCTGTAGTGAGAAAGAGTTTGTGTTAAACACAGCAAACCATCACTTGTGGAACCAGCACCAGTAAAATGACAACATATCTGGTTGTTATGGGCAAAGCCTCCACTGCCCTGTATTTCAATTTCCATGTATAATGGCCAAACCCTTACCCTTTGCGACTGTATTCTTAGCTCAGTCACCTCCTGTGTCTAAAGCCTAACAGGAGTGGCTCTATTTCAGAGATTTTTCAAAAGAAAAGATTGCCTTTTGTGAGAATAGAAATGTTCCTATTAAAGTTGCAAATAAAGTAGGTTATCCCATCCTTTTTTTTTTTCTGCAGGAACTTCTAAAGGTGTGTAAGATCTTGCAAGTGTCATACGTTTGCTGTTTGATGTTCACGTCTTAAGAATTTTGTGGGAATAACTGCATTTATAATTCTTACACATTTTCATATGTCAAAGTGCTCAAAGTGTACAGAAACCGAAAAGCTATATTGTATTAAAAAAAATTTCAAATGAATTGGAGGTTATGATTCTGAAACTACAGAACAGAAAAACAATGTTTAGTATCTCAGCTCACCATAGGAACAACTAATATATTAGAAAATAAGTATTAGAAAAAATCTTTAACCCCTTCATGACTGAGTCCTTTTTTTCATTTTGTGCACCTATGTTATATTCCACATTTTAGGCCTGAAAATGACTTAAAACCCCCAAACATTATATATTTTCTGAATGCCAAGACCCTATAGAATAAAATGGTGGTAGTTGCAAATTTTTATGTTGCGCAATATTAGCGCAACTCCTTAGTAAACCCCAACATTTAGTGAAAAATTTAATTAAATGCTCCAAAACACAACAACATACAATTTTTTTTGCAGAAAATGTGAAAGCCGCACAGCCGCGCCAAGGCACCTCTTCTAGTGCGGTCCTAACTCTAAACTATGAGAGTCTCCATCTTTCTACTGTACCTTTCTACTGTTTTACTGGTGACAGGTAAGTCGCCAGAATCGCTTCTGTTGTAAAGCCGACAGTCGGCTTTACAAGTTTAAACAGACTCCCGGCGGCAATAGACACCGGGAGTCTGTTTAAACAGCCCTGATGCTGGCGACGTACACTGTACGTCGTCAGTCACAAAGGTGTTAAACATGTACCAGAGTTCCATCATAATTCAAAAGATTTATTTACACATTTCAATAAAAAAACATCATAAATAGTATTGTAGTAACTGTCCCCGTACACCAACTTACAATATCTACCAATTAACTATCAAATGCCCATGCTCATTGAGGGCAAGCAGGTTCTCTTTAATGTGCCCCTCATCAACATACCACCCTTTATCTCCCTGTCATTTTGTTTAGCCACCAGGAGCAATAAAGGTATTTTCTTTGCTTGCTGCAGCTGAACGGAGTGCTTGTGTGAAGCAAAGTTGACCGAAACCCTCCCAACCCTCAAAGTACTAAAGTCCTCAGCATACAATAATCACAAAAGAAGGAGGGACCTATTGCCATTTTCTGTTTAGGACTATACCAGGACTGAATTGTGTATAGAATTCTAATTCACCAATACAGTATGCTAACCGCAATAACCATCAAAACCAAAGACAAAATATTCCCATTCCAAAATAAACAATGTCTCGAAACTCGAACTTGAAAGTTAATTAAAACATGTACCTAGGTACATGACCCCTCCCCCATAAAAACCAACACATTGGGACCCATCATATAAAAGGCCATAGTCCGAATTGGAGTTCAAAATACTCATTAAGGGACAAAGGTACTAGCAATGGTGTCCGAAGCACCTAAGACACCATCACATGCCAACAGCAAAATATTTACAGCACATGCAAAAAGAGATGGCTCAATTAGCCCCACTATTAGTAGAGATGTATAGCAATTGGTATGGACTAGAATATAGGTTCTGCCCTATTTTTTCATACCAGGAGCATAGACATTATAATAACATAACATATGTCAAATGCATCTCCTTGGTGTACTTTAAGTACTTTCTTACAACAATTTTGGGCACTGGCTATCCCAAGTATTGTCACTATCAAGTCACAGCATGATATATGGTTAAACCGTTCCCTAAGCACAACAACTAAATCAATCCATGATATGCACCCAATGCTGGGAATAAATACGATATTTATATTTTGTTTGAAAAAGTGCTTCCCCGGTGATCCATCAATTGGTCCCAGACTACCTTTATGTTACCGGTATTGGCCTCTTAAAGAACAACTCTAGGCATAAATATGCTTTACCTTTGCAGCGAGGCTACCCCTGTACTGAATGTTTTAAGTGCTTGTTTTTGTCCAGGGACAAAAATAACAGTTATACTCACCTGATGAGTTTGGTGTGAAGAAACTTGATTGCACACAGAGCCCTGACCTCAACCCTTATGAACACATTTGTAATTAAATAGAATGCTGGCTGGGAGCCAGGTCTTCTTGTAGTCAACCTTGCCAGAATAGTGAAGGCTGGCATAGCTGAAAAATGTGGGGGAGCTTTCATGTCATTGCCTTTTTGTTTTGAAATGGGATATCCAAATAACTCATATTAGGTGTGATGGACAGGTGCCCATATTTTTTGGCTGTATTGCATTTCTTACATGTTTACCCACTGGATTTTATTTCTGCACTATATATCTGCTTCTGGAAATCAGAGGGGAAATGAGAGCAGATGATGTACTTTGCTTTTGTAGCTCCAGCACATACTTTGGAATCTGGTTAGTGGATTATAGCTCACAATATTTAGTTGTGAAGTCTGATGCTGGACTGAAGTACAGTGTTTTGTTGTGTGACCATTCATTCATCATATTTGAAATCTGTTCTATGGTTAATATATTGTTATATACTGTCTAGTATGTAAGTGGACCCTATGTTAGTAGTAGGTTTTATTATAGTTTATAATTTATGATTAAAAATCATGAAGGCTCTCTGGTTCCCAGTTGTGTAAATGTTTTTTTTTTCTTTTTTATAATTTGTTTTTTTGTAGTATATTAGGTTTTTATATGTTGCTTGTTGTGCTGGTTTACATTTCCATATCGGTGTATGAATACTGCATAAAAGTGCAAATTAAATTATGAAAACTGAGCAGTACGTACCCTTTAAGGCCCGTCACTTGTGGGTGCAGTTACTTCAAAAAATGGATAGTGATATATTACTGACTAAAAAATATAGACTATTGATTATCAAAGCTAAGTCCTGAATTATCCTAATAGTAAACATGTATTAAGTTGTTAAAGGAAATGTATAGTCCCTTTCAGTTTCTGTGTATTTGTTAAACATGTAAAAGAGCAGCTTCATGTGAATAATATTATATTATGTTGTTACTATGTACAATTTTGTATTTTTATATGGGCAGGAAGGCATCCATACATGCTGATTACAAATGCAGACTTGATAATGTAATGTAATACAATGATACACAGTGGTTGTGCTTTTCTTTTTCTTCTTACAATGCAAGGTAATGATTTGGTCACTCCCCGTGAGAACATCATCTCAAGAGGAACTGAAAAATTGCGCTTAGATACTGAGAACACCCTCTAGTGAATAATCGTGAAATGCCTCAATTCAATACAATATAAAAAGATGAAATTATTTAGGCTCTGTTCACACCTATGTGCGTGTGTTAACACACGGTCACCATGCATTACGGTTATCCTGAATGCCATCCCAACATGGGTATGTACAGTATTCTAAATTAGCACACCACAATACACAGATGGGAATACACTGTACATTGTGTTGCTCAAAAAAGTGCCAGTTTATTTTGTACCTTGAGGCTTGTTAAGGGCTCATTTAAAGTGAGCAGGATGTCTTAAGGAAATGTACGTTAATGCACAAAAAAGGTAGAAACTACAATGATAACTCAGTATGCACATAACGACAATATGCCATACTTTCCTTTATAAGGTTGTTGTTCCTAAAATCCATTACTAAAATTACTAGTCTTCATGTATAGAGGCAAGAGTGCACTTTGATTATTTCACTAAAGGGTGTTTTTATAAAAATGTTTACTGCAGGCCACAACAGCCAATAGGATTATAGATGTAATCTGCCATAGCATAGCTTTGAAGAGAAATTACATCATTGCACATCCCATGAAATCATTTATATACCAAAGTTCTGCAAAACCTCCATCAGTATTCGTACAAAACTTGTTTTTAGTTCTGTTTCATCACTGATCTCTGTAGTTAACAAAATAATCACAAAAAAATCTTGGGACAACCTGATCTTACACATTTTAAATGGAATTCACTGCATTCAGACGTTTTTTTGTTTTCCAGCAGGGAAGTCCAATGGAGCCAGTGGTAATGAAAAGACCTCCACTTTATGGAATGGGCAATAGTCCCTACTCTCAGACACAGCAAAGCAGTCCTTATCCAGGCCAATCATATGGACAACCAGGACCACAAAGATATCCAATGGCAATACAGGGACGGACCCACAGTGGCATTACAGGAATGCAGTATCCACAGCAACAGGTTTGTCTATACATCAGACTTATGTTGAGCATTATGTAAAATATGTAGCCTTTTCAATAACATTGTGCAAAGGCAGTAATGTGTAATAAGCCATAACCTCTGTTAACATTTTAGTTGACTGTAGCTACTGAGTTATTGCTCTTTGCCATGGGTACCACACTTTGTGGTTCATCATTGCCTTAATGGAAGGAAACCTGTGCCGAGAGGAATATGGGGGCTGCTTTTGTTGACCTGCTTCTAAAAATGATAGTTGACTGGCTGTCTCTGGCTTCAGTACTTTATAAATCACTGAAAGAAACCTTAATTTTAACGGTTTGCGCTTGCACTGCTGATATAGGGATATAATGGCAGCTTTTAAACTTTGTATAGCCTTCCATTCAAGTCAGGTTTAGATGTAATATATCACCTGGTTAAAGGGAATACAAGCCAAGCCATCAAAATAAATTACTTTTATTTAGGGATGTTCAGATACCAATTCAGATACCAGTGCCGATACTTGGCATTTTCAAGAGAACTACCAGGGTTGCAGCGGTTGCAGCTGGGACCTAGCTCTGAGGTTCCACCACTGCCAGAAAATGCAGAGAATGTATCAGTACTTGTATCTGTGAGTACTTGGACAAGTGTCAGTACTGGTCTTGGAGCTAGAAAAGTATCTGTACTTGTACCGAGTACGGTACTTGATATCTGAACATCCCTACTTTTATTTATTATGCTTTTATTAATTATGTTTTCATCTAAATTGCAACATTTCTTCCACTTATCAATCATAGTAGTTGCCCTTACTTGGTCCAGTTTTGTGACATATGTCAGCTGTCAAGCTTCATGTTTATACAAAGCCAAGGTGGTTATACGAGATGATTTTTGGTATGGAGTTACAACATGTTAAGTAGAGGAGTGTTGAGATTTCCTGTTCATTTGCTAATTGCTGTATAATTGAAAATTATCCATAAGCAGCCAGTGTCCTGGCATAGTGATTGGCTGCTGGCCCTTATCCTTCTTTTCACAGTACTAATATAATTGGCTCAGCCACACTACAGTTATGATCACTAATATCCAACGAGGGAAAAAACAAATGGATAATTATGACACCAAATTTCTTTTGAATGGACAAATCCTCTGTCGTACTGTTACCTTGATCTTTCTCAGGTGTAAAGCTAATTTATCTGTTGTTCTCCTTGTGAGCAGAAAGGTATAATAACTATCGTATAGAAATAGTCTGATGTCAGAGCATGTTATAAGCAATGTGTTATGCTAATTTAGTTCCAAAAATGTATTCTCCTGCAGTTATTAGATTCAGCATAATAAATAGTGTGTGTATATGTGGGTTTTTTTTATTGATCATTATCCCATGTGCCAGTTTGTATAGACACATACAGAAGTATTATATATAGCATAATAAAGCCAAGAACAATAACTATTCCTGTATTTATGTTTTGGGATACATTTTTATGCTTAAAGAAGGACTTTGGTTAAAAATGTTATTAACCCTTGCAAGGGTTAAGTGCTTGTTTTTCTCTAGGTGCTAAAAAAAGTTATACTCATCAGACCATCTGAGCCTGCTCCCTGCTTCTGTGATCACTGAAGCATCTCTACTCCTCCACTGCACAGATGGAATGCTCCTTACGTTTATACACAGTCTATGCTATGCACAGTGTATAGAACGTGATGACACCAGGATCCTGCAGAGGGGGAGAGATGTTCCAGACACTGGTCTAAGAACTAGCTTGGATATGTTGGGATGGTCTGGTGGGTATAACCTTCTTCTTTTTTTTTTTTTATACACCTAGACACAAATGAGCACTTAACCCATGCAATGTGGGGGTAGCCCCACTGAATTGGCCGAAATTTGAGCCTTGTTTGGCCCTGCAAGCACTCCTCGGCTCATCAAAAATCGACTGAGCGGGTGCGCTCAATGTTATGAGATGGAGTCACTGTTCGGCAGTGCCAGCAGCTGCGGGAGATGTGGCTGCCAGAATACAATGGAGATTCCTCCAGCCCACTTTGTCTAGTGATCAAGTGATTTCTTTCTCTGTCTATCTCATTCTCAACACCCTCATTTAGACCCACGTATGTCCAGCCTTAAGCTAGCCATACACCGGTAGATTTTCACACGAATGTTCATATGAAAAATGTTGTCAGAACATTCGATAATGCCATCAGAGACTTGACAAATGTCTTTCCAAAATTTATTTGATGTTCATATTTGTCTTTCAAGAAAATTTTTCCATCCTGCTCCTTCAAATTTTTTTGTCACTACAATCAAAACGCATGCTACGCATTTGGCACGTTCACAGAACACAGAGGAGTGAATGGGGACTTAGACAATGCACAGATGTGACAAGTGTACATATTAGCAGTGTTAATGGACAGTAGGGGGAATTGTTAGGAACCCTGATGCTCATTTCCTGTAAACATTATAGGAAATATGCAATAACTGATAGTAAAACTTGTAAACATTCTTCCCTGAATCCTTGTTATGTTCTAGAGCCTCATTTTGTTCATTCAGCATATTTTCACTCTTTGGGTAAAGTGGAATTTCACCTTTTTTCCCCTCTAACATTTCTATTATTGAATAAGCTCGGATAAACCCCGTACTGCTTTAAAGAACAACTATGTAAATACTGTCTTCTAATTCAGCCTTGGTTGATGCAATGGCCTGTAGGAAAGCTTTCTGGCTCAGATCCTGCATAGCATTACTGCATTCTGGAAAGAGGATATTTTGGACTTCGTGGGTAGCTTTCCAACTTGGAGATGTTGGACCGTTTCCAAAGAAAGTAATTTACTGTTGGCTTGGCAGGTTATGTACACAAACTTTTGCAAAAAGGTAGTATATTAATTTCAGGCTCGTGTTTCTAAGGATCTTCAGCAAAAAGGAGCTCACATTTTTCTACAGTTCTTAATAATCCTGGGGACACATTGTTTTTAAAACTATATCATTTGTGCTCTTGAGAGTTTCCTACTGTGATGGCAAGATATAAGTTTCCATTGAATGACATTCTAGATGGTAGAGGTTATATTTTTGTCTTACACAATGCCCTACAAATAGTTTACATGAACAGTGATATGTGTATTTTTTGAGTAATATCACATGCACCTTTTTATGTTTTACAAAATAATCAAAATGCGGTATCAATGTGATGGGTTTTTTTTTTGGACTGACAATTCCTAATGGCTGATACTTTTATCATTTCTGTTCTGTAATGCCTGAAAAGCAAAAGAATAACCATAGTAAGGTTGTACCTATGTAATTATTGTGGTCCATTAGCTAATGCTATAAATATTTCACTTTGGTTAAAGGAGAACTATGAGGTGAGTGATATTCACTCACCTCATAGTTCTAGCCGACCTGTGATAATGAGACTGTCACAGGTTGGCTCAGTAGACCGGGAGGTGAGCGAACACATACCGGCGTTCGCTCACCTCTCGATCCTGTCACGGCTCTCTGCCGTGACAGGGGAGGGGCTGGATTCCCCCTTCCCCGCTCCAACCCGCCAGCGCTGACTGGCGGAATGGACGGGGAGGGGGCGGGTACAGCTGGCTCTGCCTTTAGATAGGCAGAGCCAGCTGTCACTCACGCAGCTGGGCGGATCCCGGCACAAACGTTTCAGTATACCACGAGCTACAGCTCGTGGTATACTGAGCCTAGGGTGACGGGAGGACGCTAGTTTGTGTCCTCCCGTTACCCTAAAGAGAACTATGGGGAAAAGACTTAACCCCATAGTTCTCCTTTAAACATTATCATATATAATTATATCATATATTATTATATCATGCAGCTTACCAGTCCTTAGTTGTAGTGGCTGAATTCGTTTTTTTTTTCTCTTTTCTGGATTTTTTTCCCCCCCATTATTTTTACATGGTAATCCTGGAAAAAATACTCTTCCAGTCCCTTCATGTCTATGCTCATTTCACCATTGCACTGATGGGGGCATCAAGACTGGACTTCAAACATGTCTGCCTTTGATCATCATCTATTACAGTAGATTGATGGGACTAGTAGTTTATACAAGAAAGAAAAGAATGTTTGTGCTTTCTTGTAAGTTCACAGGAAGTGACAAGGACACCACATTTCTGACAAAATCCTTCGGTATTATTTGTACTTGTTGAAAATGTTCTTAGGGTGGAAAAAGAAAACCAATGCGGCCACCACATCTAAGTAATGGTGAGCTGCAATATATTACATTTTTGTTTTAGGGTTTAGATGTGCTTTGGCTGTTTGGTGAAAATATATATATATGTAATTTTACTCTATGATCAGTAGCAAACTTCAAACTGCTATTAACATAATACTAATGTGGGTAGGATTTGACCTGACCTCCAAAAGTGCCAATTTTGATCACATCGCCAACATATGTGCAAAGCTTGATAAAATCAGAGCCTAGGAGTTGTCAGTTACAAAAATACACAGTATGGTAAAAGCATTGTGGACACCTAACCATCACACCTAATAATATGAGCATGTTAATCATCCCCTTGCAAAATCATGGGCATCAATATAGCATTTGCCCCACTTTGTGGCTAAAATAGTCTGCACTATTCTGGAAAGGCGTTTGAACTCTGTCCATGGGCTATTGTGCCCATTCAGCTCAGCAGATCCATTTATGAGATCAGGTACTGCTGTTGAATGAGAAGACCTGGCGTGTAATCAGCATTTGAGTTAATCTCAAAGGTATTTAGTAGGTATGAGGGCCCTCTGCAGTTCCAGTTCCTCAACACTAAACTAGTCAAACCTTATCTTTATGGAGTAAAAAAACAACCATTCATATTACTGGGGGGCCAATTCCTCGTTCTCCCCTCATACACTTCAGTCTTGCCCAGCTGGAATTTCAATTTTTTTGTCTTTATTGGCCTGTCTTAGTACATAGGGGCACAGTCATGCTTCCCCAAACTGTTGCCATAAATTTGGAAGCACACAACTGTCTAAAATGCCTTTGTGTGTTATAGCATTACCAAATACCTTTTACTGGCAAAACCTGAGCTCAATAATTTGAAGGGACATA